TAACTTGATGTGTTTCTCCCCAGCTCTGCTGGAAAGAAGGCACAGACTGTGTCCCCTCAAAAGAGGATGCCAGGCTGCAGATAGAGATGTGCTAAGGAGGGATGTAAGCTCCACCTCTGTTGTCAGGGTTTTCCTCATGATTAGGTCTAAACAGACATACATTACATAGTGTGTGCACTAATTTCAGGTGTCTCCTCTCCTCAGTGAGTTGAGTGTTTAGGAGTCAGTTCCCGTTCTCTTCCACCTCTGCTGGGTCCAGGGGCCCAGCTTCTTTACTGCATGTTTCTTATCTTCTTTGCCTTGTGGATTAGGGTAATCATACCACCCTACCTGACACATTGTTGGAAAAAAAAAAAATCTGAGACACTTGGTAGTTGTGGAAGTAGGGGCTTTACAAAGAATAACACAGTACACTTGACAGGACTGAAAAAAGTTGGCTATTCAGGAGACCACTGTTGTTGCTTCTTAGATCCACTCATCCAGAGTCTGTAGTCCTTCTTCCTTCAAATATTCGTTTGCCATGCGGACAACCAACTTCCCAAACAGTCCAGCTTTGGAACTGGTGGTTTTCAAAAGTGTGATTTGATAATTTGATGTAAATTTGGACCCCTGCTGAATAGAAGATCTTGTGGGATATTAACACCTTCTCTTTGTCCCAGCACTTGTGATACTGCTGCTTTATACCAAGCTGACTCTGGAAGCTGATCTGGCTGAAAGCTCTACCAGCCAAAGTGGTGGTGGGGAAGCAATTTTCAGCCTGTTTGTCAAACTGCATCTGAAATGGCAATACAGGTTCCAGCTACAAAAACGTATTGCTTGGGTTGTCTTAATTATCACCAGTTTTGCACCATTAAGTGTTATGGATTCTTGGCCTGATATAATTGCAGCAGATTGCGCACATGAACTGTTAATTATTTTATTTTTAAAACAGAAATTGTCGAACAGGAAAATAACATTCCTGCATGTTTGCTTTTGGAGCTGACCTACCACAGCAGTCTCTTAGTTTGATGATGGTTAAACTTGCATGCCCTTTCCTCAACAGGGTGCAGTAGGGTACCATTAAGGCAGCCATCTGTTGAACATATATACTGGAGGCATAAATTGCCTCACGTTTTGGGTTTCTGACTAGTTATAATGTCATGTTCTCTGGATGCCACTGATCTGCATTGAAAAATGCATGGGAATATCAGAGTTCACTGGAAGGTCAGTGTCCAAATTTGGTATCGATGGCTGGGAACTGATCAGATGTGTGCTAGATATGGAGCAGGGAGGAGATGAAACCTTGTAGGCGTACACATGCTGGTAGTAAATGCTGCTCTGTAGCAAGAGTCTTAGCTGCTTGAGTTGTTTAACAATTCAATAGTTCTGTAAAACTCCATTTGCAGGCCAGGGCTACCATTATGTTGGATTGATTCATCAGGATGAGCAGCTATAACAAGTTAAATTCTATCATAGTTTTCCTGCATTAATTTAAAAATGAATTTACTTGGCTCTAAATGGACATTTGTTTTAGTATCTTGAAGAACTGACTTTTCTCTATTAAAGCAGAATAATGTATCTATATGGTGCCCTAACTTGAACAGTACATAAAGATTAGTAAATAAGACCCCATTAAAAATACTTATAATGTAAGTAACATGGGTCCCAATAGCCTTTCTAATGTCCATTAATGCTTATTCTGAGGATCAGAGCTCATTTTACTGAGCCATTTAGTCAAACCGTGTGATTATTTAGAAAGTTAATTCATGCATACTAAAATCTAGCTTAAGTAATGCAGAGGGTAGGAGGTAAAACTCTATGGAGACGATAGTCCTTTTTGTTATTTAATGATCAGCCATAATTAACTTGCAAATTTGAAATAATTAGAACAAATTAAAGGTATTTAACTTTGCCTCCCTAAAGAAAAATTCAAATTGCACCAAATGCAGCTTTAAATTATTCAAGTCTCAGAGGTCTGTGCTGGGTTTTTTTACAATGCCTTTTCTATGATGAGAATACCAATCTGCTTTTTGTCAGAAAGCATCCTATCAAGTAATTGTTCTTTGTGTCTAATAAATGACAGCTATTCTTCTTTGTAAAAGTATTTCAGTCTCTGAAGACTACATCAGCATTTCCATGGCATTTTAATTCAATAAAACAAAAGGTTAATGTTTTTCTACTTTTTAAGGAATGCAAATACTAGCAATATTCAATGGTTCCTGAATGACATTTTAAATTTGCCATTCACACTCAGCAGGGATATCGCGATATGAAGCGCAGACAAAATGGAAAAAAATGTTCAAGGTGTGTTTTCCTTTGTTGGTGATGTACTTTGATATTCATAAGGAGGCCACAGTGCTGAGACTCGCTGCTTTTCTGGTGATGCTACTCTACAACTCCTGCCTTTTTTATGTAGGTTAGGTGGGTTAATAAGGTCTTTATTTAGACAGTCTTCTCTGTTGTGTAGTTTCAGGGAGTAGCATGAAAATTCATACATGGTACCACAATATCCGATGAAGTCCCACTAACCACGCTGCATTTGAGTGATGTGATGGATTGTTGTATTTGAAAATAGAGAAGGACCTGTTTTGTCACTTAATCTCTCTAGCTGTATGTGACCGATCCCCTTGGACCATACATTAGTTTTAAATTTTTCAGGTTGCAGTAGTCACGTCATTCATTTAACTAATTATTCCACAGGTTAATAAGTAACTGTCTTTGGAAATAAGTTGGTTTTTTTTTTCCTTATGTTTTCTTTGTTTGATTTTGGTTGGTATTAAATTTTTGTATCTCTCTGCATGATCCCTTTCCCTCCTCAGTCTGCACACCTTTCAGATTGTTTGTCATTTTAAGATTGGACTTCTTATCCTTGAGCAAAACTTTACTGTGAGCTTTTTTTTATTAAAGACTAAAGAACCAGACACTAATTACTTGTTTAGTGTGCTGTAAATGCAAATACAAATACACTTGCTTTTGTTATTTCTTCATAAATTAGCTTCTTTAACTTCTTGGTGTCTGTTTCTGTTTGACTTGTCTCTGCCATAGTGTTACTTAAACCAGAACTCAGTATTCTAGAGGTAACAGCACCATGTAAAAGGTATTCCAGTGAACCAGTCGAGTAATCACCTCCTCATCTACAAGCCAAAGGTCATTGTCTTCACAGAAGATCTGTAGGTTGTAATTAAATGTACTTTAAAAACTCCAAAAGCGTCCAAATAATGACAACCTCAGTGTTTTTAAATGCTATTAATCATCCAAGTACGGGCAAATGGAATATCAAGTCCTGTATTATCAGAGAAATGTGGTCAAGTATTACACCTTTAAGCCTCTTTAAACAGTTACTGGGGTCCAAACCCATCTCTTCCTGTACTCTGGGTTGCAGGAGTTAGTAGGTTAATAATTTCCCATCATTCAAATAAGATACTAATTTAGTCCACCATAAATTTTAATAACACTGCAGTATTATTAGCAGCCACACAGTATGAAGCCCTAAAGTAAACGGAGGTTATTCAGAGAAGTTTTATCCAACACTTCAGTCAGTTATTACAGGTCATAAGCCATTATATAATGTTCTGCATTAATAATACAGGAGTAATACTAATTGTCCAACAGGCGCAGTGGGCCCTATTAAACAATGGCTTATACAGCACATTGATTTGAAACTTTTAATTTAGCTATTATTTTCTGATGGGAACATCAGATACCTGATTTTTTCTCAGATGTACAGTAACTTCAGTAGTGTAAGCTTTCAGGTAAAAGATTCTTGTGAATCAACCTCCACAAAACTGTATCTCAAATAATACAAACTCAGTGGCAGTCTTTGGGTCACCTATGTAAAACTGGTACTTAAATAGGACAAAGATTTGTTCAATCTTCACATCATTTAGGAAAGTTGTATATCACTCCCATGATTGCAAATAGAGAATTATAATCTTGGGATGGATTGTATTCCTTCATGTGGATAATCCAAAGATTTATTTTTTTTCTTTTAATTTCTTTTCATAGCAGTGACAGGGCTAATGACATATGCATGTTGGGAATCCTCATTTAAAGTTGTTTTTTCCCAGAGAATAGAATCTCAAAGCAGTGGGTTGTCTTTACTGAGAGATGGGTCTCCATGGCTTTCTGTCTTCCTAAAATGTTTTTGTGATTGCCTATGTCTGCAGAGACTGAAGTCATGCTTGCTCCACATCACCAAATTTGCCTCCTGGCTCTATCTGTGTAGTGTTTACAATCTTGTGCCAAAGTTCATCTTGAACCATAATGGTTCTGATTAGCCTTCTCTTTTCTGACTCTACTCAAACTGCTGCACCTATTGCATGAGATACTTTGCCACCAGCTTGCTCATACATTCTCCTTTCATTCATGTCACCTCTTGTTGTCTCATCTCCTCTCAGTCCCTTTCTTCTTGAATCAATGTATCACTATCCCTGGAGGTATTTGAAAGAAGTGTAGATGTGGTGCTTAGAGACATCATTTAGTGGTGGACTTGGCAGTGTTAGGTTAAAGGTTGGACACAGTGATTTTAAAGGTCCTTTCTAACCTAAACGATTCTATGATCTGCTTCCCTTTTGCAAACTATGACTCCAATTTTCTCTTCACATAATCTTTGTTTCCTCTTTGTCCTAGCAAAGTGAGCATTTTTTTAGTTACTCTTTCTTTCAACCTTGCTATGCTGTGCTCGACAAAGTACTTTCTGTATCTTCATCCCAGTTGCCCTATCCTAACCACTCAGGAAATCCAAGGCCTAATGCTTTAGGAAATGTGCCAAATGCCACACAACTCCAAACATAATTGTCAGAATGCTGCCAGCTGCTGATAACCAAAGACTCCTGATAAAGTAGTTTGGTAACTCTTTGATCCTAAGGCATCTTGCTTTCAGACATTGTAAAAGGATTCAACAAGAGCTCAACCAGCAGCATGACAGTTACAATTTGGGAGAGTGAAAGTAGAGGAGAAGGTTGGGTGCAGTCTTAAAAGGGCTGAATGCATCATGTGATAGTGTGATCTTTCTTTTCCAGTGTGCCAGTGTTGAAATGCGAAGATCATTTTCTGAGTACACCTCCAGGGAGCAAAACCTCCAGAACACGGCAGAACAGTGGTGAGGGCACTTCGAGGAAGAAAATGGTTGATTTTGGTGCAGACGTGGAAGATGGGCAAACTGTTCTGATGCAAACCAAGATGGAAGGCACCAAGTCAAGGAAAGGTAAGGGGAAGCATACTGTATTGTAGGGCCATGAGTGTGCTGATGGCATTTAGAAATTGTGTATATGCATTCAAGAGCACATCAGTAAAATGCACAATTAAAGTGAGAGGATTGCAAGTTGCATAAAACAACCCAAGAAAAGGTAGCTATGTTTAAAATAATAAAAAGCACAAAAAACCCTTTTAAATAACAAGTGATCTTCTTGGTTGGTGTTCCTGATGGAATGAAAAAAATAGTCCTTTAATTTCAAAAAGCTACTTCAACAATTCTTTTTCCTTTCCCAGCAAGCAGAGAGAATAAGTACCAGTGGGGCTTGCTCTTGAAAGGTAATCATCTTCACATTCTTTTCCTCCCCAAGTAATGGCTCCACCACTACAACCCAGTATTTGCCACACAGGGATGTCTGTACAGCTAGAATCTGTCCTGCTCTTAGCTTAGTGCCTCCACTTAAGGAGCAGAGAAGAGTCTTCCTTAGGAATAGAAAGGGTTGGGAACAAAAGCAGCTTGGATATTTCACTGCCAAGCCTTGAATATAATCCTTGGTTCAATTATGAGCTAGCTTTTTTTTTTTTTTATTTTAACTTGTCAGCCAGTTTGCTGTATATGTCAGCATAAAAATAAAGAAAATAGCAAAATGAGAAGAAATGTGGTGCAGTTCTCAAAGGAACAAATAACTTGTGTTATTGGTTAAGACCGTACCAACATTAAAAAGCAGTCCCTGTGAAGAAACTTTCAAAAGGGTATCATCAGCCTGGACCCAAACAGTGGCTGAGGTTAATCTCTTCCAAGGCACAGCTACAAAAGTTGGAAGCCTGTAAAGGGCTTGTGTCCAAAAAAATCAATTTCTAATTTGAAACAAAATCATTTTTGACTAACAGGGGTTCAGGACCCATTACTTTTGCTGTATAGTCTGCTGACATTTCACACTTTCTGTTGTGCACAATGAATCCTAATAGTCATTTTATAACATTGCTACACCAATCAATTTAAGCAAGAGAAAGCCGTTACAATTCTGCAAAGTTTCAGGGGCAATTTTCACTGATGGTTTTCTTTTATGTTTTTCAATACTGTAGTGATGAAATTGAGATTTTTCAGTTGGATGATGGGTTTTGTTCCTTGGATAGGTATAGTCCCCAAAAAGTAATTTATTTTCCATAGATTTGGGGGGGGGAGGAGAATCCAACCTGGCCTCCTCTTCATTTCTTCATTTCATTTTGTATACTACTTAGGAGAAGTTACAAGCTGCATCTGGCTATTGCACATAGTAACTGAGCTGCACCTATGCTGATTTAGTGATCGTAATGTCTGAAGATGGTGGGTATCTTTTGCAAACACTTACTGGGATTGCTAGCTTTGAAGATGTACAGCTGCATGGCAAAATTTAACTTAAACATTAGCACTTGCTGTAATACCAGATAAGGTTCAGAGAAATGCTTTCAAGCTGTGGAACAACCTCAGTTCTATTACTGATTTGAATGGCTTGTTTATCATGAGGCAAATTACCTAGTGCTAATCACTGAAGTTGAAGTCCTCTGTATTTAGTACTTTTTTAATTGGCTTCCTTCTGTTATATGTTTGGACTCCTTTAACAGGCATATACATATAAAGTGTTTTTTCCATCTTTGGGGATCACCAGGGCACAATGTCAAGTTTCTTAATTTCAGTTAGCTCTGGACTTAGCTGCCTCTGCCCTTGCTTCTACTGCATCTTTCCATCTGTTGCTGACCTGGGATTGCTGCTTCAGAATTTATGTTTTTATTGGAATGCAGTTATACAGCATCTCTCAAAAAGAAAATGAGGGATGCTAGCATTGTTTTCTGTGGTGAAATTTATAAAAATGTGGTATTTGCCTTACTGTGTCAGAGTGCTGAGCCAGCAAGCCTGGGGTTCTGTCTCAGACAGTGTTCAGTACCTGTTATGTCAGTGTGGAATGATCCTTCTACTGTGGTGTGCTTACTTGAGCTCTTAAGTAAGCCATGAGATGTGGGAAAGAGCAATGAAGTCAACAAGCTGATATCTTGAGGCATGAAACTTGATGTCATTTAGCCTCATACCTTAAGGTGGCCTTTTGGTCAGAAGACAGCAGTGCTTGATACTGAATACAGAAACACGTCCACTGAAAACTTTTTGACAGTCAGATATTAACCTATTGCTACAGAGCTTGATTTTTTTTCATGCATTGATCTGTCTTGTCTATTTAAATTGTATACTCTTCAGGATGGGGAGTGTCTCCAAGCACACCTTAGTGCAGTGCCAGTGCTGATGTGGGCCTTTGGGCTCACTAAACAATCTCTTTGTACCACTTGGAATGGTGGATGTTTCTGGGGGACAGTGCAACTCATGATAGTGTCCCTCCACAACAACATAGGCTGTTGTACCAGATTTTGGTGTTGTCTTGACTACCTTTCTTCTCTTAGATTGATTTTTTTGGGGGGTTGGGGGTTTTGGGCTTGGTTGGTTTTTGGTTGGTTTTTGGTTTTTGGTTTGGTTTTGGGGGGGTTTTGGTTGGGTTTTTTTTTTGAGAAAATAATTTATCAGGAAAACATTCCCATGTTGGAACAGTGGAAGGCTTTACTGCTTGCAGGACTGCTCACTTACTGTGAATGAAGTGAGTTTGGAAAGGTTGATTTCCTTTCTCCCTGCAGATGATTAATAATGGGGAGAACATTGTTAAGCTGGTTCCATCACCTTGTGGAGTGAAAGGGGAGCTTCTGCTCTCTTTTCAAGGTGGAACCTTACTGGATTATCTTGTGAAATCAGCTTTTATTGTTTCACTGTTGTTTTTTGTCTCTTATTTCTGTTTGCTCCTGGATTTTTATTCCTGTGCTTTAACAGGTGTTTGTGTCTTGTAGCCAAACTTTTTTGGTTTTACCAGCAAAACTTTAAGCAGATGAAAATCCTCAAGTTTTAGATCTTTTCAGCAGTAAATTGTTTTTATTGGTGTCACCAGCAGCTATGTCAGTTTGCACTAAAATCTAACAACTTGTCTAGTTAAAAAGCACTGGAGTTTCTCTTCCTTTCTGCCCTCAAAAGATTTTGCTTTGGGGCTGGGAAACTACATTCTATCCATTGCATTCAGCTGCTTTATGGCCTCTTCTCTACATTTCTATATAAAGTCTTCCTCTTCACACCCTTCCTGAAATATCTGTGCATTGAAACAAAGAAAGAACAATTTTTCCATTTGTATCTCTTATAGCTTCTGCATGATATTGTATAGCCTGTATAGCTTTCCATTCCATAGGTAAAAGAAAAAAACAGAGAAGGAAAAATATTTTAGCTCACAGAATCTGTACTTTTCCAGGGGCTGATTTTTCTGTATAGTGTTTGTTTTTCAGTAAGTTTTTTTAATGTAGCTTCTTAGGGATTCAGGATCTGGAACTTCTTCCCTTGAGGGAAGACTCTTCCCTACAATTGAATAGAGCAATTAGTTAGTATTAGTGAAGCACTTTGAAGATGTGAAGTACTATATAAATGTTAAGTATTATGAATATTAGTAGTATTCAATTCATAAAGATTTCTTTCATGATTGTCAACCTAGATTTCCCTTTGCTTACTTTGATCCCATTACTGCTTGAACCAGCCTCAACTGTATTTCTTCATTCTTAGTGTTTACACTTTCAAAATGTAGACTGCTGTGTTTCCCCACTTTCTTCATGTTTTACTTGTCTGTTTCTCAAGCAGAGATATACTGCTATTTGAATTGTCTCAAATGAGTCTTTAATCTACTTTAAATCATTCTTTATACCAAGTTAACCAAATCGAAAATAGTATTCTTAACATTACCATTTAGAATATATCTTGTAATTGCTTTGGGCGTAGCTTGCCTTGCAAGTTTACATCTTGTTTGGTTTTTGCTATTTTGTTACTCCAGGTTCTCTTCATTGGTGTCAGGATTTAGATTATCACACCATATATGGGTGCTTTTTTTTTTCTTTTTTCCAAGGGTGAACGTGTCTATTTTTTCCCATGTTTCTTGCTTCTCTAGATCATCTGCAAGGTCTCCAGTCTCATACTGTCTTCCAACACCTGCAAATCTAATTAATTTGCTGTCATTTGTATCACCCCAGTTCTCTATGACTTTTCATAAATAATTACCAGTCACTTCATAAATTCATTAACTAATTCCCTTTAGCCCTGAAATATATATCCTTCAGACTAAAGTATTTGTATCTTTTTTTTTTTTTTTTCCCCCTGATAATTGCTTTTCATCAGCTTTATATAGACAGGTATTACACATCAACATGGTCTTCATTATCTCCTGCTTGCCAATATTTCTATTCTTTGTTTTCTCTTACAGTGTATTTTTAAATTATTACTGGCTTGACCATTTTAGGATCATTATTGATTTAATCTTCATATGTTCATAGGCCTGCTTCCTCTTTGGTGTTTCTTTTCCCTCAGTTGACTTGCATGCCTTTTTCAAGATGTATTTTTAAATATTTTTTTGTTCAAATATGCACTTCTTTGTGATTTCTTGCTACCCCTGTTTTATGTCTGTGCGGTCTAACAGCCTCAGTATATTTCTACTTAGTTCCTTTTCTTGTTTTCCATTTCGAGCCTTGGTAATATTTTCAAACTTGGGTCTTTAAACAGTCCCCTTGAGGCTGTATTGGCCACTTCCAAGTCCATATATTTTATTTTTCGGAGAAATACATCTGTTTTGCTATGAATGTTGTATGTTGACCGTTTGCCTGCCTTTTCTTGTATTAGGAATTGAATATATTCCCCACGCTCACCAGATTTTTATTACTTCAGTATTAGTTTCTTAAAATCCAGCTGCCTCATTCCACTGTCATGTGGAATGATTTCTAAAAATCTTTTATTCGGTCATAAAACCAGAAGTTTAAGCAAGAGGATTCCAGTTTTTATATGCATACCCACTCTTCTCATCATGGATTGGCACACTATCAAGTCACCAGGGACACACAATCAACATATATCCCCATGATATTTCTAAGAGTTACTTCACTGATAATTAACTCTTTGGTGGGTGAGATTTTTTCACTGCATGATTCTGAAGCACAATGCATTATAGCAGGATGATAAGAAAACATTTATTTGTTAGCCTTCTTAGAATACACCTTAAAACATGTGGTTTTACTATATTGTGTATATTTATATACATCTTAAATCAATGCAGTATTTTAAATAATTTTAATCCCTTGGACATCTAAATTTTGGACTGAACCTGAAATTACAACCTTGTTGTGTTGCTTCATGTTTCAGCATGGATGGTAGATAATGTTGCTGTTCACATATCTGAGGAATATTTAGTCATGACAGAATTAGTTAAAGAGCTAAACACTGATTTGATTTTAATTTTTGCTGAGACTTGTAGTTTTTTTCTATACTTACTGTTTTAGTTAGGTGATGTTGGTTGGACAGAGTTAATTAGTTTAAAAAAGCCCAAACCCACAGGGTTTTGTGTAGTAGACCAGACTACTCCTAATTTTCCTATTCCACTTACCTCTGACTACCTGTATGCAAGTTGTCTAACTAAATCCTGTCTGTAAAACCCAGTTCTTAGTTGGGTGAGTGAAAGGTGGAAGATGAGTGGAAAATTAGCTGGTCTACCAGCCTCAAATGGTTGTCATCAACTGACAGCCAGTTGCTAGTGGTTAACTGCTTAACATTAACAACTAGGACAGCAGGACAGCATGCACCTTTAGCAAGTTTTCAGACTACACCCACTGGGGAAGGAGTCAATACACTGGAGGGAAAAGCCCAGTATTCAAGGACCTTAACAGGCTGGGGAAGTGGTTTGATAGAAACCTGCTTAGATTCAACAAAAGGAAATGCCAGCTCCTCCATGTGTTTTGGACCAATCTCTTGTAACACAACTAACTGGGTGCTGACAACCTAGAAAGCAGTTTGGCTAGAAAAGAACTGGGTGTCCTGCTGAACAACAACTTGAACACAAGTCAGCCTCTGTGATGGAGTATCCAAATGTCAAACAGGGCCATAATAGCAAAATTGTAGTCTTCAAGTTGATGAAGTGAGGCTTCTCCTCTGGTCATGTCTGGTGAGACTATGTCTGTAGGAGTCTGGGGCTTGGCAGAGCAAGGAGAACATTGACAAACTATAGGAAGTCCAACAGAGGCAACCAGGACAGTCAGGGACCTGGCATGTATGACCTACTGGGAGAGGCTGAGAAATCTGGGTGTGTTCAGCCTTAAGAAGAGATGATTCACCACAGATCTTCCTGCTCTCTCCAGCTACCTAAGGAGAGGGTTTAGAGAAGAGGGAATGAGACTGTTGTTGGAAGTCGTCAGCAACAGAGCAAGAGACAACACAAAAAAGTTACAACTCAGGGAAATTCTGATTAGCTACAGAAAACGTTTTTCACTGTGAGTGTCGTCAAACACTGGAACCAGAGAAGTTGCCCAAAGAAGTTGTTTCACTATCAATAGAGACGTTCAAAACGTAACTGCACAAGTGCCTTAAAATTGACTCTGTTCACCCTGCTTTGAATGGGGGATTGTACTACCTAACCTCCAGACTTTACCTTTTAACCTAGATTATTTTGTAATTAAAAAGTTATTGGGAGGGGGAAAGAAGGAATGGACTAACAGTTCTATTTTATTGAAAGCAAAATACCATTATAGTTATATTTACACTTGGAAAACTGATATCTTGTAGTATGTCATGAGAACTGCATCCATGGAACAAGCTGAATCCTGTGGACCACTATAAGAAATTATAGCAGTGCAAGTCTGTCAAACTTTGGGCAGTAAGATGGAGGCTGTAGAGTGTGACTTATTCTACAGACTTGATGCTGTATGATCTTGAAATGCATGCTATGCGCAGTACTGTCAACTGATGAGTTCTTTGATTGCCATTTCACTGTATAGATAGCCCTCCAGAAATGTTGCAGCTTGTAGTCCCAGTGTTCTGTAATAATGCAGAATCACAAAGCATCTATCCAAAACTTACTAGCCTCTGATGTCTGTCTTGTTTTCACTTCATTCCACAGGGACAACTTCAGGATCTAGCAAGGATGCAGCTACATCTCCTGTGCTGATAGGCAACAGTAAAGAGCTTGCAACCACAGCCACATCAGCAGTCCAGGATGACACTTCATGGTAAGATGCTAGGTAATCTCTGGTTTAAGATTCTGCAAACACAGCTATCACATTCTCCTAGATGGAGGGAAGTGGCTGAATTTCTATGATATTTCATGTTAGCACGAGCTGGATAATATAAACTAAAAACTGCCATATCCTTTTGACATTTATAGTAAGCCTTAAATTGCTTGTTAGAATAAGTAAAGCAGGAATATGCCAAGTTCTAGCATTTTAATTTTACTTAGATTTTGAACAGAAAGTGTTTTATGTTCCAAGTCCTGACACATTAAGTACATTTGTAAATAATTTGAATGGATTGTGTTAACCCCTGTTAGGATTTAAATTCACTTGAAGATTTTAATCCCCCTGTATTTGTGTTGTCCCCCCCATATTTTATCAAATGGCATTTCTTTTGAAATGTTTTGTACCAGAGTTATTTTATGTTTAATGACAAGCAACAAAATCACATTAAGTCAGCAATTCCTGATTATACTATATATCTGCACTAAATGCACTGGAAAGGCAGTATTATCACTTCTGCTCCAATGAAGAAACAGAAAGCAGCATTGTTGTTACACTTAGGAGTCTAAAAACAACTTGCCTTCTTTAGGCAGGATTGCAATTCTAGTGGTAAGTGCCTAGAAAAACAGCATACAATACTTACTTTTCTTTATCATATCCTACATTTTCTCATAAAAAAATATTTACTTAAGCAACAAAGTAAATGCACGTTAAAGTATGAATTTGCTGTATTTTACACCACTAGTTAGATGACTTCGTGCAGTGGGATGACAAGAATGTACATAAAAAGAGTTAAATGTTTCTTGGAGAACGAGAGGGCTTGAGTCAGATTTAATCTTCTCTTGGCCCAGTGGAGTAGGAAAATGTATGCTTGATAGCATCCCTGTATTCTTGGCAGCAGCTGGCAGTTTATTTCTATCTTCTGAGAGAACTTGCGATACATAATAGGTGAAAAACCACTATCAATATTGACAAATTTGTACTTACTTGCTATGGAAACAAATTTTTTTTTCTTCTGATGGAAGGGCTGATAATTCTGGGAGGATTTAAGAAGTGAGATAGATTGGACTCTGTTTCCCACAAGTATCTGTATGTTTAAACAAACAGAAACCACAAGATTGCCTAAGCATTTCTCTTAGAAGCAAGGGTTACCTTTGCAAGCCGGTAATATCAGATGAAGAGTGTGTAAAGATACTGCTTGATACTGTCTAATAGTGATAAGTTGAGATTCTATTCAAGCAGTGAGCAGTAGATATAATTATTCATATCACACAACAACTGCTCAGAAAAAGGAATTTTATTCAAGAGGATTGATGGTCCATTCTTTTCCACAGAGGGGAGTAAAATATTTGTTGAAATATGCTGTTAGAAATCATATCAGATAAAGTGATCAGTAAAAGGAGTCTGATTAGCTGTCATCCTTAAAGGTTTATTTTACCAGTTGATGACAAATTTTTTAAAATCCTGTATTTCTGGGGGCTCTCTCCCACACTTCCCCGCTTTCTTTCTCTCTGTCAGTGCTATAAGTATAATTGACCAGTTTAAGCAGCCATGTTGTGCTTTCCCTTACTCATGGCCTTCTCTAATTGAAAATGGTAAATGGACAAGTATTTCTGCGGAGACCTAAAGCTGATCCTATCCTTCATCAAAAAACCTGCTTGGGCAGCAGGTCGGTCTCAATTTATCACTGAATGGTTATAAGCTTAGACTGCAGGTTTAACTAACTAAATTAATCAATATTAAGAATTATTGCTGCTTTTGTGCCACTAAAGTTAGGGTTTGTCAGCATGTTCGTTATAATCTGTGTTGGGGGGAGTGGGGGGGTGGTAACAGCTTAACCACAACAGTTGGCACGGACCTGAAACTTGCAGCACAAAACCCTAGCCTAAGAGCAAATTTATTTATTCGGCAGTACGTGTAAACCTAATTACTTTTGACTATTTAAATTTATAGGACTAGATTCAGCTCATGTTTGTGCCAGCTTTAACTAGCACAAACCCTGGCACCCGGCAGTAGCAGCAATGGAAAGCCTGCCAGGGAGAAGGTGTTGGAAAGCGACAGAAGCTCCCTGCCAGCGCAAGGCATCAGGGTGCTAGCACAGCTTCAGGGGAGGGCTGGCTGGATAAGCAGGCATGGCAGGTAGAAGATGCGTTGGCTTGATAGCCTGTCTTGGCAAGACTCAACTGGATGCCTCAGTGTGTTACAGCTACCTCCTGCTTGAGGAATCATCATTGCAGTCCTACTTTCTTCTCTCTTGAAATGAATCATGTCTGGGACAAGAAATAAGCGTCCTTAGAAGTTAAAGGTGTGTGCTTTAAGAGCCTTAGTGCTAGACCTGTAGAAGGACCAGACTTGGAGAATGCATGTCCACAAGGTGGTTTCAGTGAGATCTCTGAAAGAAAAATAGTATTTCTTTGTCTGGCATTCTGAGTTGGGCTAATAGTGGATTTGTTTGCCCATGATGCTTCTATGCATTCATGTGGCTTCTTTTTGTAATACAGCCAAGTATTGCATGTTTGGTTATCCAGTGTTCTTAAGCCAAGTGTCTACACCTGCATGAGCCCCTTGAAATTATGTTCACAGCAGGTCTTGAAAGCTTTCCTTACTCCATGTGCTTATTTATCTAGACCAAAGCCAATATATTTGGAAAAAAAAATCACAGGCAGGTTGGGACTGGGCAAATTTTGAAGAGTAATTTTATTCATTACCCTTAAAGCACAGTTCCTCTGACTATCTTAACTACTACCTTTTTAGTGATCAGGGCCATCTTTTTCATAACTGTTGTTTGCCTAGAAGAAAGACTGATGTTTGGCTGTGAGCTGAAAGGGAGCTCGAAAGGGTAGCTGTTGGCATTTGTATGCTTGCTTTGGTAGTGAAGAAGTTTTTACATGAACTAGATCTTACCTTAGTGTCATGGGCCACTTGGACTCATGGTGGTTCATTTGCTACAATCTCGAAAGTGCAAAATTAAGGTGACCAACACCAAAGGAAATAGCAGTGATCAAACAGTGAAACTTCATTGTGTTGCCCATGAAGTGGCACACAATAGTTAGAGATGGGTGAAAGAAAGGAGAAAAGTAAAGTTTAGAGAGAGGAGGGAGAGAGATTATAGCTGCCACCTCTGATCTCATGACATCCTAATGGTCCTGGGTCCAGCTGATGCTGCGTTGTTGATTGTCGTGGTCCTTGGTGGGGAAGCTTCCCATTTTTGTTGCCCAGTCATCTTTTTATGCTCAGTAACACACCTTGCTCCACCTCTGCCTCAGGGGTCTCTGCTCTTCTCAGAATTCAGTTGTCATATCTCCGCCCTTCTCCAGCGAGGCCATTGCACATGCACAGGGGGGAGTGTCTGAGGTATGGTCAGTCTTGGAGTGGGCAGCCTTCAACCAGGAGGTGTGTTTTGGTATTGTAATGAAGCAAAGTTCATCTAAGTTTCATGATTTCTTCCTCAATGTTATGGCAAAGTTGTGATCCATCTTTTCTGACAGTAGCTCTGCGATTAACAGCTCCATCTAGGCCCAGGCACCGAACAATAGCACAGCACTCTCTGTACAGCACGGCTCAGGCACCGAAGAACAGCGCTGCACTGCCTGCACCACATGGGTCAGTGCTCAGGAGAACAGCACAGCACTCGCTGTGCCACACAGTTCTGCATTCAGGAGCCTTGGCACCTCATTCCACTCCAGGGATCGGCAACTGTTCCAAGCAGGCTGTTGTCAGGTACCTCTCTGTCCATGTCCCTGATGACAGCGTTGAGGCAATGCTGATCTTCTGACTGACTCTTACACTTAGGTATAAGCAGGTACTTACTGATTTTAGCCAAAAAAAAAAAAAAAAAAAAGTGTTTTAAAACAGGAGTGAAACTGCTCTAAGTCAAAATATTAAGCTATTATTTAAAAAAAAAATGTGGTAAAGTGTTACGTGTGAAAGACTGTTTAATTTGATTACAGCCCTGGTGCAGTTGTCAGGCTCTCCCCACGCAGAGGCAGTTCTAGTGTTGAGTTTGGCACAGTAAGTCCTACAACACTGCAGATAATCAAGCACTTAAAAAGACACAGGCAAAGGTTGTTCTGCTCACTATGGAAACAGATAATACTCCTGTAACATTTTTCACTTTGGGCATATAAGAAGTGAATTTAAGAAGAGTTAGGTAAATTAAGGGATTGAGTGATAGCCTGGGATTTCAGCATTAAGCCCATGTTTTCTTGTTGCTGTTTTAAATCAGAGCTTTAATGCTAGCTGAATGCACTGTCTTGGAGTGAAGTTTCTTGTAGCCATTAAAATAAGTGATTTAGAAGTTCCTGCAATATGAATACTATATTCGAGCTCTATTATTATCTGTTAGACTACAGTGGCCTGTTGGAGTTTTCATAAACAGATTGTATTGTGTAAATTTGTGTTTAGGGACATTTTAAAAACAAAACTATTTACCCAATTGCCCAGCACATCTCAGGTGAATGTGTATTCAGGGACTTTTAAGCAAATTAATATCTGATGTAAAATATAATGTGCAGAGTTGTGTACTTAATAATGCACACTGGAGTAGTCTAGAGTAGATCTGTTATGCTGAGTGTTAGGAAATACGACAGTGATGAGATTTAAGCTTTTGTCTTACTTATGCCATAGTTGCCTTTCAGATCTGTGCATGTTGGATGCGTAAATATGGTTCTGCTCTTAAGACAATACTGTGAAGCTCCTTTTACTGTACAGTGTAAGTAAGAGCTATCAAAGAAATATTTCCCCCCCCCCCCCCTTAGGATCAGAAACCATTCAAGATTCAAAAGGAGGAAGAGAAAACTTTCATTCCAGATCTAACTTAGGGACATTTAAAAGGATTAAAATTGTGTTTGGAGTGGGGTGGTGGATTAGGTGCTGAACATGGTAGGAGACACAAGTTTTGCCTACTTCCTGAGAAAGCTAACAGCACAAAAAGTCCAATATAGTTCCATATGCAAGTGATAAAACCAGACGTTGGCAAATTAATCTCTCTTATTCAC